CATCATCATCATCATCATCATCATCATCATCATCATCATCATCATCATCATCATCATCATCATCATCATCATCATCAAGATCATCATCATCATCATCATCATCATCATCATCATCATCATCATCATCATCCTTCTGGTCTCATCCTGCTCCTCCTCATCCTCCTCCTCCGCCTCCTTCTCCTCCTCATCCTCCTCCTCCTCGGCCTCCTCCCGGGCTCCCAGTCGGGCGCGCCCTATAGAGCGCGCCCAGCCTCGGCAGCATCTACCGGGTTACGTCGACCCCAAAGGGCTCGACCCATTCACCAGGACTGGAGTTTCATCCCGAGTCGATCCTCTCGGGGCTCAAGAGACGGGGGTCAATGCGAACGGGGGTGAGTCAGAGCGCCAGGTCTGCACTGACCCGGGCTCTGGCGCAGGACCCTGCAGGATCTTGCAGGATCTCGCAGAGCCTCGAGTCTGGATTGACCCGGGGCAGCAGATCCCCGATCGTTTTTGACGGCCCCGATGCCCAGCAAGGGCCCCCAGAGGCAGGAAGTGGCGATAATACGTCCGTCCGTGTGGGAGGGGTGAGGAGGAGAAGGAGGAGGAGGAGGAGCAGGAGGAGGAGGAGGAGGAGGAGAAGGAGGGAGAGGAGGAGGAGGAGGAGGAGGAGGAGGAGGAGGGCTCTGGGAGGGTGGGCCCTCCGCCCGCCCAGGCCACGCCCGCCCCCAGCCCCCGCGACGACGCCCAGGGCCCCGACGGGCGCTCGCGGCCCGCAGCCCTCGGCCCCGCCGCGCCAGAGCGGCAGGCGCCGGCGGCCGCCGCGGACGCCGAGGCCCTCCGCCTCCTTCTCCTCCTCCGCCTCCTCCTCCTCTCCTCCTCCGCCTCCTCCTCCTCCTCCTCCTCCTCCTCCTCCTCCGCCGCCTCCTCCTCCTCCTCCTCCTCCTCCTCCTCCTCCTCCTCCTCGGCCTCCTCCCGGGCTCCCGGTCGGGCGCGCGCTATAGAGCGCGCCCAACCTCGGCAGCGTCTGCCTGGTTACAGCCTCCCTGGCCTGGGTGGAGCGCCCCGTGCTCCGTTCCGCGGGAGCACCTGCTGGGGTACGGCCTCCTTGGCCCGGAAGGGCGAGCGCCGTTGCATGCTTGGCGACGCTGCAGCAGTTTTCGAGTTGTTGCACAGGTGTCCGCGTATCTCGTCGCTCATCGCCTTCTACAGGTGTTGAGTCTCTGATTCGGCTTGTCTGGTTGGATTCCATCGCCGCTCTCTTTGACCCATCAGCGCTCTGGACTGAGATCTAGGACTTCACCTTGTAATTGATTCCCTTCCAGTGGAGAAGCAGTTGCCGTGGCGCAAACATCATTTCCGCGGGCAGCGGCTCCCTCGCAAGCGCTGACAAGGTCACCGTCCCTCGTTTTCGGTGTTGTCTCTTCTGGCTGGCTCGCCGAATCCTTGCCTCCGGGCGCACAAGAGCATGATTCCATGCTGTTTCTGAACAAGCTTGGGGACGGCTTGGAAAGCCGAAGCTCCGCGAGGCCCCCATTGAGCTGGTACCCCGTTGGACAGCTTGTTCGCTGTCGCGCAGGAAAAGGGAAGACCTGTCAAATGGGGCTTTAGAAGGCGCCTAACAAAGCTCGTGAGGGCCACGCCTTCCAAGTGTCGCCCACTTCGGGAGCCCAACTTGCGGCCCCATACCGCCTCCCATTTCGGCAGACACCTCACACGTGTCGTGCCCATGAGGAAGCGCAACCTACGGTCTCAGTGGCCATGTCCGCATGGTGTGCCCGCCCTCCGTTTCGGCACACCCCTCACACGCGTCGTGCCCCGTAGGCCGCATGGCGCACCCGCCCATTTCGGCGCACCCCTCACACGTCTTGCGCTCTGCTGGAAGCTGGGGAGTTCCATCTACGATTCCAGCGTCCCCGCCCGCATGGCGCGTCGGATTCCCACTTCGGCACGCCATCACGTGCTTCGTGGCCCTGAAGCTGCACCGACGCCTTCAGTGGCCGCGCCCACACAGCACACCCGCCTCCCATTTCGGCACGCCCCTCGCACGTGTCGTGTCCCTTGGAGGCTCTGCATACGGACGGCCCCAGTGACCGCGCCCGCCTGGCGCACCCGCCTCTCATCTCGGCACGCCCGCTCACACGTTTCGTGCCCATTTCACGGCTGGCGCCCCACGGGGAGTTTCACGTACGGCCCCAGCGGGAAAGTTTGCATTTGCCCCCCGCAACCAGCGCGGCATCTCTTCCACACGGATCATTAAGCAGTAACGCGTCATGGAGTTACAAAAGGGCTGGGCCCATCGCCAAGGTAAGTGCTTGTTTCCCGGAATCATGTGGCATGCGTGCGCCTTGTGATCTGTGTTGGTTGAGAGCTTATCGCGCGAAGCGCTCGTGGTTCTACGCACAGATGCGCACACATTCTATGTCGCCACGCCGTTTGTTCAGACGCGCGGCCTTCCGCCCTGGGGAGGGCGCCGCGGGCACCAGGGCAAGCGCCGCCTCGGGCGCGGTGGGCTTGCCGCGGGATTTGCCGCGGTGGCGGCCTCGTCGCAGGGCGCAGGGTCTACTGTGGGTTTGCTTTGGTGTTAGCGTCGTCCACGTGGGTGCGTTGAGAACAGACGGCGCGGCGACATGTAATAGAAGATGATATAACATTATGTCGCATGGTATTCGGCCCATCCCGCCACCGTGCCTGGGTTCTGGGTACGAAGCCTATTGGATGTTCGTTGGGATCTCGTGGGGGGCCTCTCGGGGGCGTCTTTGATTGAGGCCGTTTGGGTGCCTCCTTTGGGCCTCTTGGAGGCCTCTTGGGCGCCTCTTGGGGCCTCCTGGGGGTCTCTTGCGGCTGAAGGCTCGGATTTTCGGTTCGTGATCCCTCTCTTGGGCTCCTTTTGAGGCCGTATTGGGCCCTCTTGGGCCACCTTGGGCGCTTCCTGGGCCGTCTTGGGGCGTTCTTGGACCGTCTTGAGGCCCTCTTGGAGGCCTGTTGGGCGGTCTTGGGGTGGTCTTGGGGGCCTCTTGGGCCGTGTTGGAGCGTCGGAAAGCAGAACAGGCGAGAACGCCAACATTCATCAAAAGCCGTAGGAAAATCAATGACTTGTGCCTCTTGGGGCCCTCTTGGGGGCGTATTGGAGGCCTCTTGTGGCGTCTTGGGGGCATCTTTGGCCACCTTGAGGCCATCTTCGGCGTCTTAGAGCGCTCTTGGGTCGAGTCGGGGCAATCTTTGACTATTTTGGGAGCCTCGTGGAGCCATCTGGGCTCGTTTGGGGGCCCTCCTGGGGTGAAGGCCGACGGGGGCGAGTCTGGCGGACCCTTAAAAAGTCCGGGAAACTAATGGACTGGGCCCTTCAACACGTACAATTATGGGCGGCGTTGGTTCGCCCACGTGGGCGAAGCAAGTGGCAAGTGCCAGGATGCCCTCCGGGAGGCTGAAAGGGCACTAGCGCCACCCAGTAGGTGCACTCAGGCTTGTGCAGATAGCAGAAGGCCTTTCAGGGGGAAAAAAAGTCCGGCCGAACGACGCCCCGCCACGGACTCGGAGTAGACCTCGCCATTACGGGTGGGTTGCGATCCGCGAAACCATCGCCACGTTCGAGGGCTGTTGGGGGTCCAGCGCAGTGACGCCTTGCCGCAGACCACCGCAAACTCAAATCCTCGGCGTTTCGAGTATCGCCAGCAGCCCATCCAAAACCGACGCCCAGGCGGGTCTCGGGTGCCTCGGGGATCCTCTTGAGGCATTTTGGGGGTCTCTTGGGAGCCTCTTGGAGGCCTTTTGGGCGCCTCTTGGGGCCGTCTGGGCTCCTCTTGGGGCCCTCGTTGGGCGCCCCTGGGAGCTTTAAGGGCGCTCTTGGAGCCATATTGGATGATTTTCGCTAAAAAACAAGCGGGGTATATTTGATTAGCCCTGCTCTTCTAGAGTGCCTAAAATCGCCTATTGGACCCCTCTTGGAGCGCATTGGGGGCCCCCATTGGAGCTGCCTTGCTGCCTCGGAAAGCCATCGAAAGCAAAACGGCTAGAAGGCAGCATTCATGGATTTGCCTTAGGTGTTTGAAGGATTTGGGCCTCTTGGCGGCGCGGGTCCAGCGGAAGGACGTCTTTCCGCAGACTTTGATTGAACCTCGCCGTCCCTGGGGGGTGCGAATTGCGAAACCGTCGTCATGTTCGAGGGCTGTTGGGGTCCAGCGGGGTGACGTCTTCCCAAAGATTCAAATGAACCTTGATGTCCTTTCCCGCGGGCCGCCCGGAGACCTGGCGGCGCGCCCTTGATTGCCTCTCCCGCGAGCCGCCCGAAGGTCTGGCGGTGCGCCCGCGGACGCTTAGCTCCCGCAGTGCAGAGCGCATGGGGGGAATCGGAGAACCTGACGGGCGAGCTCGGCCTCGCGAGTTTTTGCACTATGTATGACCAGCTGATCCCTTGGGAGCGCCAGGGCGGCATGGCGCGGGGCGCGCTAAATGTCCAGCGCGCCATTGGAAGACGATCGCGAAACCTCGCTCCTCATCCCGTCTCTTTCGATGTCGCACTCGTCCTCTTTCCACCGTTTCATTGCTGCTGTCGCGTTAACTGTTCGGCCCCTCCCTCGCCATTTCCTTGCACCCCTCGTTCACACCCCCATTTCCTCTTCGAGCCTGGGGCCTCAGTCCTCGTCCTGCTGGTGCCGTCCTACGAGTCGCGCAGCGCGCGCGCTTCCCACACAGCTCGCGCAACCAATGACGGATCCTGTGTTGCAATCAGCCGTACGATGTTGGACCAACTGCTTTTGCGAATTCGTGCGGATGCGCCGGTACGTCGCAGGGTCAGATCGCCCAATTGCCGCCCCCCCCCCCCAACAAAAAAAAAAAAAAAAAAAAAACGGTGGGGCGGCTCTGTGGGGATGGGCGGGAAGCGGGTGGAGGAACAGCAGTGCATCTTGACGGTTGTCTCACCCCTTTGTCGGCAGATCGGCGCGCCCGCATGCTGAAACGCACGCCAGCGTTCGAGGCAAGCAACCCAAAGACCAGCGCAGCCCAGACTGCGCTCTATGTCGGCAGGGTTTATCGCGGTCGTCGTTTGCATCGCAATCGCCGTTATCATTGACATTATCACGACCATCATCATCGCGCTCGTCGCATCCATTGCCATCGTCTTCAGGGGCCACGGGGAGGCCGTAGGGACTTCCCCCTTCAAACTTGGAGGCGCCCAAAGCAGGGCGGCGCGAGGGTGTGGGTTTCTTAGAACATTGGGGCCGTCTCAGAAGGTCCTGCAGACTTCTTAATACACGGTCAATGAGCAGCATGGCGGGCTTCTGAGCCCCGCCGCATCATCATTCGAAACCCATCCCCATTCGCGCCACCATTTGTTGGCGCCGCCGACAAACGGCGGCTCGCACCTCCAGGCAGGAGGAATTCGCAAGTAGCTCGCACTACTTCTCACGTCGTCTGGGGCCTCCTCACAACAGACCCTCGTGCGCTGCCGCCGCCGAGGTCGTCGTCATCGTCGAGGGCCGGCGGTCGTCGGCGTCGTCGTCGCCGCCGTCGTCGTCGCCGCCGTCGTCGTCGTCGTAGTCGTGGACGTCGTCATCGTTGAGGTCGTCGGCGTAGAGGTCGTCGTCGCCAGGGTCGCCGCCGTCGACGTCGTCGGCGCAGAGGTCGTCGTCACCGAGGTCGCCGTTGTCGTCGTCGCCGAGGCCTGGTAAGCGTCGTGCCCACGGGCGGTCGCCGGGGACTGGCGGTCGTCGGTGGCGTCGGGTGCGCGGCGGCGTCGTCGTCGTCATCGTCGTCGTCATCGTCGCCGTCCTCGCCAGCCTCTTCCTCCGCGGTGGCGAGGCCGCGGCCGTGGAGGCAGGTGGCGAGGAGGAGGAGCCCGGGCGCGCCGCGGAGAAGGCGGAGGACGGCGAGTCGGCGGCGCAGGCGGGGGTGCTGCAGGGGGGCCCTCCCCCTGCCCCCTTGTTCCTCCTCCCCCTCCCCCATCCCCCCTCCTCGGCTTCCATCCCTCCTTGCAGCACGGCTAGCACCGAATGTGGGCAACATCTCCCTCAGTCCTATCTCGAGTTTTCGGCGCCACGGCGCCGCCGCTCCGTTCCTGGAGGGACGCCGCGCCCCAGCGCGCAGCGGAGCGTCTGTCTCTCTGTGTGTCTGCCTGCCTGCCTGCCTGCCTGCCTGCCTGCCTGTCTGTCTGTCTGTCTGTTTGCCTGTCTGCCTCTATGTCTGCCTGCCTCGGCTTCCTTGCCTCGGGGCTCGCTCCACGCAGCGGCTGCGCCTCGACGAGGGCGCTCCCGGGGGTGCCCGGGTCGTCCCGGGCGGCCGCCGGAGAGCCGGGCCGGGGCCCGGAAGCCGCTCGGAGGGGGGAGGGCCCAGAAGCGAGCCCGAGGTGTTTCGATACGGTAGAGGGAAACAATTACCACCTCCACCGGCAGGCGGCGGCCAGCCCAGCTCCAGGGGCATCAGTCTCGCGCCTCCTCCTCCTCCTCCTCCTCCTCCTCCTCCTCCTCCTCCTCCTCCTCCTCCTCCTCCTCCTCCTCCTCCTCCTCCTCCTCCTCCTCCTCCCCTGCCCCCCAAACTCAAAGTTGGCACGCGGGGGGCACTGCGGTCGAGGTGCAACTCATCAGACCCACCGCCAACTTTGAACATTGGGGGGAGGGGGAGGCGTTCACAGATGAATGTGGCATGAGTGTTCGCTTTTTTTTCCGAGGCCTGTACTCTGGGCTAGGTTCGGGCCTCAGGGCCATCCAAGCACGGGTCGGGACGGGAGGCCAGACGGCCCCTGGGAATGAGTCGGAAGGCCAGGGGTGCCGACAGGAGTCGGCCACCCCACCGCGGAGGAAGAGGACGGCGAGGACGGCGACGACGACGACGACGACGACGACGACGACGACGACGGCGACGGCGACGACGACGGCGGCGAAGACGGCGACGACGACGACAACGACGACGGCAGCGACGACGACGAGGACGACGACGACGACGACGACGACGACGACGACGACGACGACGACGACGACAACGACGACAACGACGACGACGACAACTCGCGAAGAGAACGGCGGCGCGGCGGCCGTCGAGGCGGCCGAGGCGGCGGAGGCGTCGGCCGCGCCGGCTGCCCAGAGCCCCTTGCAGGCCGGAGGGGTCGGGGGCAGCTAGTGGTGGTGTTGGTGATGGTGGTGATGATGTTGGTGTTGTTGTGATTTGTGGCGATGATGGCACTGATGGTGCTGGTGATGGTGATGATGATGGTGATGATGGTGGTAGTGATGATGATGATGATGATGATGATGATGATGATGATGATGATGATGATGATGATCATGATGATGATCATGATGGTCATGATGATAATGGCGATGATGTTGACGATGACGACCGTGATGGTGATGGTGATGATGATGGTGATGAGGATGATGATGGTGGCGATGATGATCGCGATGGTGATGGTGATGTTGTTGATGATGATGATGATGATGGCGATGGTAATGATGATGACGGTGATGGTGATGATTATGATAACGATGGTGGTGATGGTGATGTTGATGATGTTGATGCTGGTGATGATGTTGATGATGACGATGATGATGATGATGATGCAGATGATGGTGATGATGATGACGATGATGGCGATGATGACGGCGATAGTGATGGTGATGATAATGCTGTTGATGTTGATAATGATGATGATGGTGGTGGTGATGGTGATGATGACGGTAATGATGATGATGATGATGATGATGATGATGATGATGATGATGATGATGATGATGATGATGATGATGATGATGCGGATGTTGATGTTGATGATGATGATGATGATGATGATGATGATGATGATGATGATGATGATGATGATGATGATGATGATGATGATGTTGATCGCGTTGGTGATGATGATGATGATGAGTTTGTCGCTGGACTTGTTATACCGAAATAACAGCTGTAGGCAGTGACGTGTGAGAGTTCGGCGGGGACTTTGCACGACCCCTGGTGTACCCTTGCTGTGCTGAGCGGGTTCGAGTCTGAGGGCCACGGAACAATCAGTGTTACGATGCTGCTCCTGTGCAGAATGAGTTGGCATTAGCGTGTCGCCAGGGCCGCCGCGGCGACACGCTCAACAGAGGTTCTCGACCGTAGGCTCAGGGGGGGAGCCTTCAGAAGTGTTCGAGTCCCGGGGTCGTTTCTACTGCGCCGACCCGACATTCCCCGATTTCGCCACGGCTTTTCTCGTCGCCATCTGGCCTGGCGCGAGATCGAAGCTGGCCAGCGGAGGGCGCTCGGGGGGCGAGTGCGGAGGGGCGGGCGGCGGCGGGGGCAGGATCGGCGCCCCGGCCCGTGTGGCCACAGGGGGCCCGGCACAGCGTGAACCCAGCCCCCCGCCCTCTGGACCTGTGTTGTCTTAACTTACTCTAGCCTTGAGCACCAGAGAGAAGCTCGGGCACCAGGAGAGCACCGAGATTGGAGGGTTTTCACGTGTCGGGCCCTGGGGAGGCACTCGTTCGACACTGTTTCGACACTTTCCCAGGTGCTCGGAATTCTTTACGCTTCGCGTATCCCCACCAGCCCATCTCAAAACAGCAACTCTTGCGAAGCATGCCGACAGTTGTGTTTGTCAGGCGTGTTTCCGCCTGCCCCCGCATATCTCCCCTGTTCCTCCTTCCTCCCGCCTCCTTGTACATCCTCCTTGTGGTGGGAGCGGGAGAAGGACGAGGCGGAGGAGGAGGGAGAGAAAGCGCTCCTCGTGGTTTGAGTCGTTTGGGGTTTCTCGTCCTGGTGTGAGTCGTTCGGGCCCTTCTTCCTGGTGTGAGTCGTTCGGGCTCTTCGTGATGTGAGTCGTTCGGGCTCTTCGTCCTGGTGTGAGTCGTTCGGGCTTCTCGTGGTGTGAGTTGTTCGGGCCCCTCGTCCTGGTGTGAGTCGTTCGGGCCCCTCCTCCTGGTGTGACTCGTTCGGGCTCCTCGTGGTGTGAGTCGTTCGGGGCCCTCGTCGTGGTGTGAGTCGTTCGGGCTCCTCGTGGTGTGAGTCGTTCGGGCGCCTCGTCCTGGTGTGAGTCGTTCGGGCCCCTCCTTCTGGTGTGAGTCGTTCGGGCTCTTCGTGGTGTGAGTCGTTCGGGCCCCTCGTCCTGGTGTCTTGGGGGCCTCTTGGCGGCCCCAGGGGCTTCTAGGAGCGTCTCGGGTGCCTTGGGGGAGCCTCTTTGGGCCTCTTGGGAGCCTCTTGGAGGCCGTTTGGGGCGTCTTGGGGGCCTCTTGGCGGCTCCAGGGGCTTCCAGGAGCGTCTTGGGTGCCTCGGGGGAGCCTCTTGGGGCCTCTTGGGGGCCTCTTGGGGGCATCTTGGGGGCCTCTTGGAGGCCTCTTGGGGCCTCTTGGGGCTCTTTGGGAGGGGTCTGGGAGGAATCTTGGGGCCATCTGTCGGGCGATGGATCACAGATGGGGCGAGCACTTTTCTCCCTCCCCCCGTCGGGGCCAGAATCCTCGTGAGGGGTGTCGTTGTTTAGCCCTCCGAGGAGTCGAAAAAGACCCCTCTGACCACCCGCGGGGCGCCCTCTCCAGGCCCAGGGGGAGGGGGTAGGGGGAGGGGTAAACCCCTCCCCGAAGGGGAAGAAGGGGGGGTGAGAACAGAGCGGGCTCTCTAAACCACTCACGCCCAAAGGGCTGGTGGGATTATTTTTCTGGGATGTGGTCCTTGAGTACGACGGGAGCAACATAACTTTGGACCTGAATCGGGCTTCGGTTCTCAATTTTGAATTTATGATCCCAAAGGATGCACGGATCCGAAAATGAGCAAACCACATTGGATGGTTCCGCTGAAGAGCCGATCGGGCTTGCTCCCAAGACGGCCCGGAAGCGTCCCCCGCCAACACACAAGTGGTATATGTGCGCGTAAGCCGTGTGTCCGACGGACCCGAAAGTTGGCCTCACGCAGGAGGGCCCCTGCAAACAAGCGTGTTCGGCTGATCTCTGTGTCTGCCCCCGGTGGTCCGGAACGCGCGCCACACTCGTCAGTGCTCGATTTCTTTAGTGCAGTGATACAGTAGGGGCGCGCATCAAGAAACCATATGCTTTTCGCCAGGGTGTCCCGGGTTTTTTCGCTCCTCGCGCCGCGCGGCGACTTCCCGCAGCCGTTGCAGGAGCTGCTGCGTTCAGGGTGCTCCAGGTTTCCCCTCAGGTGCACCTCGCGCACGGGTTCTCAGGGTTGGGTTTCTTGCGAGGATTTCTTGCGCCCGCGCCCGCCTTGTATTGCCATCATACAGCTGCGCAGCATCCGCGCGGAGCCTGGCTTCGCAAGACGGGGTAAGCTTTCGGAGCGCCGATGTATCCAGTGGCGCTGCCGCGCGATTCCGCCACCGCGCTCGGGCGGGCGCCGCCTGGGGGGCGAGGGGTGGGGGGCGCCGGGGAGGGGGGGGTAATCCACTGAAGGTCCCTCCCCCAACCTCGTATTTGGGCACACCCCCTCAAAAACACAGGGACTTTCCTGGTCGCCAAAATACATGCATCGTGGGCTCGATGCGTCGGGGGGCCCCAGCTATTGCCTCGCAAGGAGCGACAGGGCCCGACGCGCACCTGCCGCTGCAAGCGCAGTGGCGGATCAGTTGCGCCTCGGGGGTGCCGGAATCGTCCCGACTGGCCGCCAGAGGCCAGACCTGAAAACCACTTGTGACGGGCAGGGATTGGTGCACCTGCAGTCTTCAACCAAGCGAGGAAAGCGTGCACATCGATCTTTTGGGCCCAGGATGGGCCTGCCCAGGACTGGCGCTGGTGTGTATTTGGCGCCCGCCCTCTAAGATGAAGTCGGGCATGTCCCTCAACAGGAGGACCATTCAAAAGTAGTAAAAAATGGTCTGGGTATTACTTTTTTAACCTATTTTCGACCATCCCTGAATATGGTTTGACTACTTCTCATGTTTCGTCCAAAATCCGCCTGTAAGTCGACCTAATTCGAAGAGACTGCTGCGGAGCAGCGTCTCCCCAGTCGGGCAGTCCGCCCTCGCAGCGCGCCCTCCCAGCGCGCGCTCCCAGCGAGCTCGCCCAGCGTGCCGTCCCTGTCCCCCCCCCCTCGCTGACAGCGCTGCCGCCGTCGTCGACCGAGGATCGCCTCCTCCTCCCCCTCCTCCTCCTCCTCCTCCTCCTCCTCCTCCTCCTCCTCCTCCTCCTCCTCCTCCTCCTCCTCCCTCCTCCCCTCATCCTCATCCTCTCTCAGCCTCTCCTCCTCCTTTTGGGCGCTTCTGGGCGGCTCGGGGCCGTTGCCGGGCCGCCCCTGCAGGCTCTTGGTGGTTCGTGGGAGTCGGGGTGAGTGCGTCGCCTGGCTCCCGGCAGGCGGCGGGCCCCCGCGGCGAGCGGGCGTTGAGGACGTCGCCCTCGCCTCTCCTCCTCCTCCTCCTCCTCCTCCTCTCTCCTCCTCCCCCTCCTCCTCCTCCTCCTCCTCCTCCTCCTCCTCCTCCTCCTCCTCCTCCTCCTCGTGGCTCTCGCTGCGTTCTCGTCGCGCTGCTCTTACGTCGGAGCCCGACCCTCAGCGGCCCGGCACGATCGTGGCAGCTTTATCCCTTTGTGTGCAGCCCACGTCGAGCTGCTGGGGGTCTCTCTGGGCTGCTGCTCTGCCTGCGCAGCATGATGGCAACTCCCCGTGGAGCCACCTCCTTCGGAGGAGGCGAGGGTGGGGAGGAGCGGATACAGGGCTGGGGAAGGGGGGCGGAGGGTCCGTGCCCTCTCCGCCCCTGCGATGTCACCTGGGCTGAGGACCGCAGCCGCGCGAGGCAATCCAGGCTTCACCGTTTTTCTGCATCCCCCTCCTATCACATCCTCTCTCCGCCCTCCTCCGCCTCCATGGCGAGCTGCAGGGCCACAGCAATGTCCCATGGGTTGAGGGTGGTGGGACGGGGAGCACGGATACCAGTGTACTTGGGTGGTATTTCCCCAATCAGAGCTTGCCTCTGTGGGGGTCCTAGCGGATTCATATGGTTAGGTGAGTTGGGCCGCCGATTTCGGTGGCCGGGCCGGGTGCCCGGGTGCCCGGGGGTGCCTGGGCGCCCGGTAATTAGCCTCATAACCCTCTAGCCTTACAGCCATATAATCTGAATAAACCTATAGCCATAGCCCAATAACACTATAGCCCTATAGCCTTATGGTCTTACAGCCCTATAGCCCTATCTAGCCCTATAGCCCTGTAGCCTTATAGCCCTATAGCCATATAGCCCTATAACCCTATAGCCCAGTAACCCTATAGCCCTATAGCCTTATAGCCCTATAGCCTTAAAGCCCTATAGCCTTATAGCCCTGTAGCCTTCTAGCCCTATAGCCCTGTAGCCTCAGAGCCCTGTAGCCCTATAGCCCATAGCCTTAATAGCCCTATTGCCTCATAGCCCTATAGCCCTATAGCCTCATAGCCCTATAGCCCTATAGCCCTAGAAAAAATGATGTTGTTTTCGGTGTAATTCCTACGTTGCTTGAGCTATCTCGGATTCGTGCATCATGTTCTTAGAGACTCTTGCCAACGAATGAGGAGGCGGCGGTGGGCGCACGGATGAGGAGAAGGCGGAGGAGAAGGAGGAGAAGGAGGAGAATGGAGACAGAGGAGGAGGGGGAGGAAGAGCAGGATGAGAGAATCGGGACGACCAGGATGAACAGGCTGACGACGAGGAGAAGTAGGAGGAGAGGCAGAAGGGAGGGGAGCAGCAGGGAGGCGCCAGATGACGGTGATGACGGTGATGATAATGATGATGTTGATGTTGATGTTGACGGTGATGTTGATTGACGGTGATGGGGATGATGTCGGGATGATGTTGATGTTGATGATGGTGATGATGGTGGTCATGATGAGCATCATGATTATGATGGTGTTGAGATTGGTGATGGTGTTGATGGTGATGGCGACGATGTGGCAATGACGATGACGATGATGACGATTACGATGATGAGTATGATAATTATTGTGATTTTGTTTATGAGTCGAATTATGATGAGGATGAGGATGAGGATGAGGATGAGGATGAGGATGATGATGATGATGATGATGATGATGATGATGATGATGATGATGATGATGATGATGGTGAGGTTGGTGCTGATTGTGATGGTGGTGGTGATGATGATGAGGGTGATGATGATGACGATGGTGGTGGTGGTGATGATGGTGATGGTGAGGGTGAATGTGGTGATGATGGTTTTCTCCATCCTTCTTTGGGTTATGCATTCTCCCTCCTGCCTCCTCCTGCTCCACTGCTTGCTCACATGTGCGTATGACTAGTCCTCCACCTTCTGTGTCGTCCTCTGCCTCCTCCTCATCCTACACATCCTCTGCCTCCTGATCCCATCGTGCTGCTCTGCGCAGGAGGAGGCGGGAGTAGGAGGAGGAGAAAGAAGAGGAGGAGGAGAAGGAGGAAGGAGAGGGACGGTGCAGAGGAAGGGGGAGAGTGAAGAAAACACAAATAAACTCGGAACCTTTCCTCCTCCCCGGATCGATCGTCTCGCCTCGCATCTTGACCCCCAGAAGTCCCCGAAGGCTTTCGAAGATCTCCGCATAGACCCCCAATGTGCCAGAGGAATACCCAAGTTGTGATTATGTTGTCCTTCATTCCCCCTTCGCTGGAGGCTTACAACTTGCTGAAGCACCACAGGATGAGACAAAACAGCCGAGCGCCTACCAAAAATGTCCTCCCTCACCCCGACGGCCTGGGGGAAAGCTCAGCACCAGCCGCTCGTCCAGTTGCCCTTCCCTCCCGGTCACCCACCCTTCCATCCCTCTGGCCACCAACTCCAAGGAGCCAACTCGCTCCTCCCCCCTCTCCCCCTCCCTTCTCCTCCTCATGCATCCTCCTTCTCCTTCCTGCCCTTCGTCCTCCTTCCGCATTCTCCCTCCTCTGCCTCCCCTTCTGTCCTTTCTCCCCCTATTCCTCCTCCATCTCCTCCTCCACCTCCTCCTCCTCCTCCTCTTCCTCCTCCTCCTCCTCCTCCTCCTCCGCCTCCGCCTCCTCCTCTCCTCCCCCTGGTCATCAGTATCTTCCGTCCTCCTCCTCCTCCTCCCTCCTCCTCCTCCTCCTCCTCCTCCTCCTCCTCCCCCTCCTCCTCCTCCTCCTCCTCCTCCTCCTCCTCCTCCTCCTCCTCCTCCTCCTCCTCCTCCTCCTCCTCCTCCTCCCGTCCTTTCTCTTCCTCATTCCTCCTCTTCCTCCTTCCTCGTTCCCCCCGTGCCTCCCTCCTCCTTCCTGCTCCTCCGTCCTTCCTCCCTCCCCCTCCCCACCACCCCCCCTCCTGCCGCCGCTCGTCTCGCCGCGAGTGTTGGCATCTCCCCTTTTTGCGGCGCCCCCCTCGCCGACCACCCGCGGCCCGCGCAGGCCTGGGGCGCCAAGCTGGCGAAGCAGGTGACCGACGCCAAGGTCTCGGGCGGAGGGGGGCCACGAGGAGGAGGGAGAGAGGGAGGAGGAGGAGGAGGAGGAGGAGGAGGAGTTAGCAGGTAATGGTTATGGGTGCCATCTCCGCTTCCCCAACAGCCGGCGTCGTTACTCCGTGCCCCAACCGGGCTTCTCTGCTTGACTGCAGTGTTGTCGTGCCCTGCCTGATCCGCACTTGCTGCCTGCTTAGTTCGTGCTTCACATCGCTAAGCATGATTTTTATATGTTTGAGCACGTTCATCAGAGAAGAATGCTACAGCCCCGCGGCTCAAGTTCGCCCAATGTCAAAGATGCTGATGATGATGATGATGGTGATGGTGATGGTGACGATGACGATGACGATGACGATGACGATGATGATGATGATGATGATGATGATGATGATGATGATGATGATGATGATGATGATGATGATGATGATGACGAGGACGAGGAGGAGGAGGAGGAGGAGGGACGAGTGTACACCCAAGACTCATCAATGGCATTGCGAAGCACCTTCCCTCCAAACTCTCTCTCCATAGGTCCCTGCAAGGGTTCGTGTTCACTGAGGGGCGTGCCCCGTTGGAAGACAACCGTCTAAAGATCCTGAGCCTTGCCACAACACGATTCTTGGGACTTCAACGCCGCAAATCAACGTTACTGTCGCGGCCTGGTGATTCTCAATCATGCCAGAACACCATTCCTGGGATATCTGCACCGCGAAACAATGTGAATGTTGCGCCTTGACGGTCCTGCATCGTGACAAAATAAGTGTTACGTACTGGGAAGTCAAATAACATAAACATTGAAACGTCCGTCAACTCGGAAGACTAATTTAAGCGGCGCGAAGGCGAGAGCCACATTTTGAAAAACAGCCCCCATCCATCCGTTAAACGATGGCAAACGTTTAGAGTGAATGCGCGCGGCACTAAGGCGAGCGCCACAATTTGACAATTGCCCGCCCTACATGTGTGAAGCCCCTAGCAAACTTGGAAATCGAATGTGCGCAGAGCTTAGGCGAGTGCCACATGTTGATAAGGAACCGCCCTCCAGCAGTGGAATTGCTACAAGCTGTTCAGACAGAGTTGGCGCGGCGCTGAAGCGAAGCCACATTTTGAAAACGACCTTCCCTCCATCCGTGAAACTGCTGCAAGCTTTCAAGACGAATGTGCGCGGCGCTAAGGCGAGACATACATCTTGAAAACCACCTGCCCTCCGTCCGTGGAAATGCTGCGAGCGTCTAAGCTTAAGGACCAACAGTGGTGAGGAAGTCTCAGGCGAAACGCCCGGCTCGCCTTACCGACATGTCTCGGGCTGCGATTGGGAGGAGTTACTCATAGGTAAAAGGATGGAGAGGGGGAGGCAAGGAGGAAGGCAGAGGAAGGTCTTCGACGGAGGGAGCAGGCGGAAGAGCGGGGAGGAGCGGGAGGAAGGAGGAGTTGGCAAGAGGGAGGGGATGGAGGAGGAGAGGGGCACGCATTGCTAGCAAGACGTGTCCCTCCGCTCGTGAATTCGTGAACTGATCGAGGAGGCAAGGGAGGAGGAGGAGGAGGAGGACGAGGAGGAGGAGGAGAGGGAGGAGGAGGAGGAGGAGGGGGAGGGGGAGGAGGAGGAGGAACAGTTGGAGAAGGAGCAGGAGCAGCAGGAGGAGGAGGAGGAGGAGGAGCCAGAAGAGGAGAAGTAAGGAGCGGGGAGGAAGGGTGAGGAAGAGAACGGAGGAGGATGAACGAGGGAGGGAGGGAGTAAGGGGGAGGTTCCAGGTTCAAGACTTGATTACGTGTTGGACCTATCTACTTTTGTGGGCCTCAGGGAGGTTTCTCGTTGACACAAACGGATCACCCCTCACAATCATAGTCACACTGTGCCCGAGGCCAGGTCGATGGGCGATGTTCGAGGTGCGGGGATGGTGATGATGATGATGATGATGATGATGTTGATGATAATGATGATGACGATGCTGTTGCTGAGTGTGCTCATGATGCTGCTGAACATGCTGGTGATGATGATGATGATGATGATGGTGATGATGACGATGACAATGACGATGATGATGAGTATAATGCTGTTGGTGATGGTGATGATGACGATGCCGATGCCGATGATGATGATGATGATGATGATGATGACGATGATGATGATGATGATGATGATGATGATGTTGATGATGATGAGCATGTTGATGTTACGCTAATGCTGATGGGTGATGGTGATGGTGATGATGATGATTGTTGTGACGGTGATCATGGTGGTGGTGATGTTGGTGGTGATGGTGAGGGTGTGAATGTTTATATTGATGATGGTATCGATGATGATGATGATGGTGGTGGTGAGCATGATGGTGATGCTGCTGATGATGATGACGACGACGATGATGATGATGATGATGGTGATGGTCATGGTGGTGTTCGTTGCGATGTTGGTGTTGATGACGACGAGTGTGATGATTACTGAAATGATGGTGATGGTGAGGAGGAGGACGCTTGTTGTAAGTGATCATGACGGTGTTGATATCGGCATCGATGTTGGTGAGGGTGATGACCATGATTGCGATTGTCAGTGTGATGGTGGCAGTGACGATGATGATGTCGCAGATTAGTAAGGGAATGATAAAGATGATAGTGCTTGTGATGGTGAAGGTGGTTGTTGTGGTGACGATGTTGATTGGGATGGTGACGTGGCTTAGGATGATGTTGACTGCTGCTGATCCTGATGACGATGAGGAGAAGGAGCGTGAGGTGGCCATGATTATGGTGGTGGCGTCGATGCTAACTATGTTGGTCATGATTGCTGTGTTTACGATGAGGAGGGGGAGGAGGAGGCCCATGGTGATGACGGAGTCGTGGTGGTGAATGTGATTGTGGTGATGAGGAGGGGACGGTGGGGTGGAGCAGGGCGGGGAGACAAGGAAGAAAGGAAAGCTGAGGGGGAGAAGGCCGGATGCAAAGGGAAGAGGAGGCGGGAGGAAGAGAGAATAATCAAAGAGGAGGCAGCGAGGCGGCGGCGGAGGAGGAGGTTGTGTGTTGGAGGAGGAGCATCGTGCGGATTGTGCGGATCAAATCGGTTCGCGAAGCCCCGTGGATTGCCGAGGGCCCCCTGGACGCATCGGGCCGTCCCCGCGCCAAGCCAGGAAACCGTGTGCCACTTTATCAGGCGGCGTATTGTTTCAATTCTCGCACGAGCTAATCTCCACACTGTAGCCGAGACGTGCCCGTCCGACCCCTGCGACAACAGAAACTACTGCCGCTGCCTGGGTTCTCGCACGACCCAAACCCCGCACTGTGGCAAAGACCGTGCACGGCCCCGCGATCACCGTGGTATTCTCGCACTGTGGCTGGTTACTCGTCCCCCCGCGGATCAGCGTAGCTACTGATGACACCGGGCTCGAACATCACCTCCCACGTCCCGCAGGATGGTCTGAGTTGCCTGCCCCGTTGCATTGCGCTGCAGCTGATGGCTTCGGGCTTGTGCTTCGCCTTACACCGTTCGTTGTGTAGCGCCAGAGCCTGCTGCTTCTGCCCGCCCTGATCGCACGCGCTCTGCACGGCAGAGTAGGCAGCTAATTTGGGCCCCAGCTTCGCCTCCCACTGCTCGCCCCCGCTGTTCCCAGCGCACGTAGTGACTAGTTTGGGCTCCAACTTCGCCCCCCGCTTCTCGCACGGGGGCCTCGGTCTTCTCGCACGCCCTAGTCCCAAGCTTGCGGGTGATGACGTCAGGCTTTCGCGTCGCCGTTCCCTTCTCTCCGAGCAGCGCCAGAACCTGCTGCCACTGCTCGCCGTTCTCGCACGTCGCGAGGCCGCCGCCGGGTGTGTCCTGATGCCAGTTCTGTAGCTGATGGCATTCGGCTCGTCCTTCGCCGTCCCCTCGCTCGCGCTCGTGGTGACGGGTCGTCGCCGCCGCGCTGTAGCTGGCGTCATCGGGCTCGCCCATCGCCGTCCCGTCGCCGTCATCCTCGTAGCTCGTTGTCGTCGCAGTGTAGCTGGTGACGTCGGGCGCGGCCTTCGTCTTTGCCACTCGTCCTTTGCCGCCGCCAGCGCTGTAGCTGACGACATCGGGCTCGGACTTCGCCTCCCGCTGATTGCAGATAGGTGGCTTAGTCTCCAACTTCGCCTGCTCCTCACAGAGTGTAGGCAAAGCCTCCTGCCGCAGGCCGCCGTTCTCGCACTCCTCGATGCCCACGCTATGGGGGATGACATCGGGCTCTCGCTTCGGTGGGCTGCAACTGATGGTCACGTCGAAACCCATGGTGAGTAGCAGCAGGGTCCGTTGTCATTGCTTCCACTGCTCCTCTGTGTCACATGTCGTCATAGCCCTGAGCTGCACGCTGCGGCTGATGACGTCGGGCTCTGTGTGGCTTCCACGAGGTATGTGGAGCACGCCAGGGAGGCCGGTCACGCCGCACTCTTGACGACGAAGGGGGAGAGGGGCGGAGGGGACGAGAGCGTGGGACAAGCGAGAGACGTCTTCGGGCGCGCACGGACCGGTGGGGCAGGGTCTCAGCGCTGTAAAGGAGGACGTCTGGCCCCACCTTTTGGATGGCTTGGCTCGCATCAGCATTGCCCTTCCCAAGTTGGCTGATGCACCCCGGGACCCCCGCCGAGAGGAAAGGCTAGGAGGAGGAGGAGGAGGAGGAGGAGGAGGAGGAGGAGGAGGAGGAGGGGGGAGGGGGGAGGGGACCCGGGTCCCCCGGGTAATAGCCAGGCCTGCAGGGGGCCACGGCTCGGTCGGCACGGTGTCTGGTGTCCGAAGGATCCTGAGATCTTCGCGTCTGGGGTTCTGGGAGTCGACAAGCAAAAAACGGCATAAACATGAATGTTCGGAGTTCCGCGCGATTTTCTTGAATCGGCGTTGGGCCCCCTTGGCGGCGCCTCCGGCGCCGCCCCTGGCTCGCTCCGCGCGCCATGGAGAGGGGGTCAGCGCAGATCCAAGAAATCCGCGCGGACCGTCAAAAGTTTATGTTTACGCCATTATTATGTTCATCTTCGGAGGTTGTGGACTAGCTGTCAGGACCCCTGTCCTGGGTCAGGCGGCTCCGCCCTCCCTGGCGGGCGCGAGGAGGAGGAGGAGGTGGCGGTGGAGGCAGTGAGGACGGCGGACGCAGTCGGGACGCGGCGGCGGGGCAGAGGAGGGAGGTGCCTGAGCCCGCAGCGCCAAGGCCATTGCCACCGCGGCCGGCGCGAAAGCGGCCAATGCCGCGGCGATGCAGCTGGCCGAGGCCAACGTGGCGGCCAACGCCGCGGCGAACCAGCTGGCCGAGCGCGTCGCAAAGGCGGAGGCTCGTCGTCGTCGTGGTGGTGGTCCTCGCCGTCGTCATCGTCGCGGTCGTCGCCGCCGCCGCCCCCGCCCCCGTCGTCGTCGTCGTCGTCGACGTCGTCGGCGTCGTCGTCGTCCTCGTCGTCGTCGGGGATTCTCGGACGCTGTGGGCTGTCTGGGAGCCCCCGGGGAGGCCTCCCGTACGCCTCCGGAGACCTAAGGGTTCTTCCAGAGACCTCGTTGTCGCCGCCGCCGTCGATGTCGTTGAAGGAAGGAGAGCAGGGAACTGCAGGTAGAAGTGAGGGGTAGGAGGAGGGAGGAGGAGGGAACAGGACGGGGAAGAGTAGAGAGAATCGATAATGGTGAGAATGACGAGAGCGAGGCCCAGGGAAAGGACGAAGGCGGAGGATCATAGTCGTCGTGAGCGTGGCAGCTGTCGTCTCAATTTCCGGCAAATGGTTTTCATGTTTTGATGTTTTTTGTCTGGGGACTCGGGCTACCTCCCGAGGAGGATCTTCGCTGCTGAGCTCGACGTGGCCATCGTCGTCGACGTATTTCGTCGTCGTTTTCGTATTCCCTTTGGACGTGGTTGAGTTTGTTTTGGATGCTGCAGGCCTCGGGAGGCCTCATCCACGGCATCCAGAGGCCTCCAGGCAACCCGGGAGGCCTCCAGGAAGCCCCTCTGGAGACCACCGGAGGCCCCTGAAGACGTCCGCAAGCGTCTTCCACGTCGAAGTCGACATTGTAGTTGCTGCCGCCGGTGCCTTCTGTCGTGTTTTCCTCGTTGTCGCCTATCGTCGTCGTCGTCGTCGCCTATCGTCGTCGTCGTCGTCGTCGTCGCCTGTCGACGTCGTGGACGTCGTCGTCGTCGTCGTCGCTGTCGGTCGCTGTCGTTGTCGTTGTCGTCGTCCTCTTCGTCGACGTATGCCTCAGTTCTCTTCCCCGTCATCGTCGCCATCGACGTCGTGGACGTCGTGGAAGTCGTCGCCGAAGACGATGATCGGGGGTGGATAGACCTACCCTGACACGTCGACTAAGGAATTGGCCGTTTTCGGTTCGCGAGAGGGCGTCGCGGCCGCCATTTTTGCGGGTCCAGGTCCGTCGGTTTCGGTCCCATGCCGTTTTCACTAAGGGGAGGTTTACTAAAGGGAGGTTTGTCCACCGCCGAGATGACGGAGTGAGGCAGTCTTCCTCCTCGCCCTCCCCCTCCCCCTCCGACGCCGCCTCCCGGCCCCCGCGCAGGAGTCCCAGAGCGTGAGCGCGCTGAAGGAGACCGGGGAGCGTCAAGCGCACACCTGCGCCGACCTTGGCCAGGCTTAAGTCGGGCCTGTCCCCCTGCAGGGGGATTTTTGACGAATTAGCCTGGCGAAGGACCCAACCATATGCAGCTGCGAGTACCGCAAGGATACCAGTGTCAAGCTCCCCCCGACCTTCGGTGGAGATCCCTATGGGGCCACGAAACGTGTGAGGGGTGTGCCGAAATGGGTGGTGGGGAGTGCCGAAATGGGTGGTGGGGAGGCATGCGAACCCTGCCACTGGGGCCTTCGGTGGAGCTCCCTATGGGGCCACGAAACGTGTGAGGGGTGTGCCGAAATGGGTGGTGGGGAGGCATGCGAACCCTGCCACTGGGGCCTTCGGTGGAGCTCCCTATGGGGCCACGAAACGTGTGAGGGGTGTGCCGAAATGGGTGGTGGGGAGGCATGCGAACCCTGCCACTGGGGCCTTCGGTGGAGCTCCCTATGGGGCCACGAAACGTGTGAGGGGTGTGCCGAAATGGGTGGTGGGGAGGCATGCGAACCCTGCCACCTTCGGGGCCCTCGGTGGAGCCCTTATGGGGCCAGCTCCCTATGAAACGTGTGAGGGGTGTGCCGAGATGGGTGGTGGGGAGGCATGCGAACCCTGCCACTGGGGCCTTCGGTGGAGCTCCCTATGGGGCCAGTTTGAGGGTGTGCCGAGATGGGTGTGGGATGGGGCCTTCGGTGGAGCTCCCTATGGGGCCACGAAACGTGTGAGGGGTGTGCCGAAATGGGTGGTGGGGAGGCATGCGAACCAGCCACTGGGGCCTTCGGTGGAGCTCCCTATGGGGCCACGAAACGTGTGAGGGGTGTGCCGAAATGGGTGGTGGGGAGGCATGCGAACGCAGCCACTGGGGCCTTCGGTGGAGCTCCCTATGGGGCCACGAAACGTGTGAGGGGTGTGCCGAAATGGGTGGTGGGGAGGCATGCGAACGCAGCCACTGGGGCCTTCGGTGGAGCTCCCTATGGGGCCACGAAACGTGTGAGGGGTGTGCCGAAATGGGTGGTGGGGAGGCATGCGAACCCTGCCACTGGGGCCTTCGGTGGAGCTCCCTATGGGGCCACGAAACGTGTGAGGGGTGTGCCGAGATGGGTGGTGGGGAGGCATGCGAACCCTGCCACTGGGGCCTTCGGTGGAGCTCCCTATGGGGCCACGAAACGTGTGAGGGGTGTGCCGAAATGGGTGGTGGGGAGCATGCGAACCCTGCCACTGGGGCCTTCGGTGGAGCTCCCTATACCACGAAACGTGTGAGGGGTGAGCCGAAATGGTGCGAACCCTGCCACTGGGGCCTTCGTGGAGCTGGGTGTGAGGGGTGTGCCGAAATATGCGAACCCTGCCACTGGGGCCTTCGGTGGAGCTCCCTATGGGGCCACGACGTGTGAGGGGTGTGCCGAAATGGGTGCGAACCCTGCCACTGGGGCCTTCGGTGGAGCTCCCTATGGGGCCACGAAACGTGTGAGGGGTGTGCCGAATGGGTGGTGGGGAGGCATGCGAACCCTGCCACTTCGGTGGAGCTCCCTATGGGGCCACGAAACGTGTGAGGGGTGTGCCGAAATGGGTGGTGGGGAGGCATGCGAACCCTGCCACTGGGGCCTTCGGTGGAGCTCCCTATGGGGCCACGAAACGTGTGAGGGGTGTGCCGAGATGGGTGGTGGGGAGGCATGCGGACCCTGCCACTGGGGCCTTCGGTGGAGCTCCATATGGGGCCACGAAACGTGTGAGGGCTGTGCCGAGATGGGTGGTGGGGAGGCATGCGAACCCTAAGAAGGAGGAGGGCGAGGAGGAGGAGGAGGAGGAGAGGAGGAGAGGAACGCGGGGCACCGTCTCTTCAAAACGAGGACCCAACACCACAGGATGGTTGGGAAAAATGAAATCTACCTTCAAAATAGTTGAAAAATATTCCAAAAATAGTCAGGGGACTTTTTTTTTGGCATTTTTTGCTTTGGGGGGCATTTTGGGGGTATTTTTCATTTTTCGTCGAGAATCCCCCTGTAGGGGGACACGCCCGACATAAGGCCAGGCCCGTCTTGGGCTCAAGGTCGGTGCAGACGCACACCTGACCAAGCCAGGAGGGGGTTGAACAGCCAACGCGCACGGCAAGGACGAGCGGCACTCCCAGGGGCGCCCCTGCTTGCATCCCTGCCTTGTCGGCCCATCCTCGGCCAGTCTTTGGCCCCAAAAAAATTGGTAACCTGGCCGTCCAGGGGCCTCGCATCCTTCATCACGTGTCCTGAGCACGCGCGCTGACTGTGCGGTCCGGAACTTTCGTTGGCGCGTCGCGCCGCCGGTTCTGGCCCACCACACTGGCGCGACCCGCCAACCGCGCCCTGCGTAGCCCCCGAACGTGAACGTCCCGAGCCTCTCGAAGCCTCCCGCCCCGCGAAGCGGAGCAGCACGCTGTCGGGTTGCAGGGCACAGCGTGTCGCCGGGGCTGCCCGCCGCGACGCGCGAAGCAAAAGTCCCTGACGATATGCACTCGACTAGACGTAAGAGTGACCTTTCGCCGGAGTGACCTTTGGTGCAGGCCCAATGGGGTCCCCCGATCGCCGCGCTCTGTGTGACAGTAGCGTCTTGCGCGCTTGTATTTGGCCTCCTCGCGCCCCCAAAAAAGCCGCGCACCAAAGGTCACTCTTGCCCAGGGTCACTCTTACGTGCAGCCGATGCACCGACGCCAGGCCCAGGACGGGCCTGGCCGGGACGGGTGGAGGTGTCTGGTTGGCGTCCTCTCAGGAGAGGTGGGGCCGGTCGAACACCGGCGGCGAGCTGGCCCCGGCTGCGGCGGCGCCGCCCGCCGCGAGCGGCGCTGCGCCGGGGCGCCAGGCTTCCCGCCGTGCCCCACCACCTGCTTCTGCGACGCTATGCGATTCTCCTACGGCGACGACGAGCGATCCTCCTCCTTCTCCTCCTCCTCCTCCTCCTCCTCCTCCTCCTCCTCCTCCTCCTCCTCCTCCTCCTCCTCCTCCTCCTCCTCCTCCTCCTCCCTCCTCCTCCTCCCTCCCCCTCCTCTTCCCTCTCCTCCTCCTCCTCCTCCTCCTCCTCCTCCTCCTCCTCCTCCTCCTCCTCCTCCCTCCTCCTCCTCCTCCTCCGTGCTCAGCGCCAGGCACCGCAAGTGAGCGGGCAGCCTAGTAGTAATGTCCAGAATCAGGGTGAGAGTCGTACGGAGGTTGAGAGCGAGCCAGGTCGGTGTAGCAGTGTAGGGATGACTATCCTCGGGCAGATTGTTCTCGAGCGAGAGCGCGTGAGGTTCCGAGGCCAGTGGGCGCCTCCAGGCCAGCCCGTCCAGAAGAGACGACGAGTGAGCAGGGGGTAGTACATGCATTGTTCTCCAATGCATGTGAGTTTCTGCCTCTTACTTGTGTATGGATCTTAGCCGTATGTGTAGGTGTTTTGTGTGAAAAGGCCCAGTAGCAACACAACGCTACATAGAAGCACCCAGTAGCAGCACAACGCCTTCAGCACAGGCGTAGGGGGGTTGCGTGCATGCTGAACAGTTGCGCGCGTGTAGTGGTTGCTGCTGCTGCCCTAATGTCCAAGGCTTTCTTGTGCCTTGTGTCGTTGCCACACATCCGCTGGCTCCACCCGTATATTCTAGAGTGGAGATGTTAGCGCCAGGGCTTCGTGCATGATGGGTGCTCGAGGGAGTGTTGCCTGCTTGACATCGGTGGGGACAGTCTGTTCTCACGCCGCCCATCGGTCGCCCATGATCAGCTACGCATTGACGCTTTGACTAGCTGATTCTCGCCGCCGCCTCCTCCAACTCCTCCTCCTCCTCCGCCTCCTCCGCCCTTAGACGCCTCCACTCCTTCCTCGTCGGCTGCGCGCTTCGGGCGGCTCACGATCTGCACCCCGCCCCACGGAGGCAACTTTTCCTCTCCGGACATGTCATCCGCCGCGGCCGCCAGGAGCATGCCGTCAGCGCGTCCGAATGCTGCAAGACACTGAGCCTCTGGGACGCACGGAGCACGACCCAAGGGACCAGCACGCCTCGACTCCTTCCTCCGTGCGTCCCAGAGGGTACGTGCCCGAGCACGACCCATTGGACCAGCACGCCTCGACTCCTTCCTCCGCGCGTCCCGGAGGGCACGTGCCTGAGCACGACCCATTGGACCAGCACGCCTCGACTCCTTCCTCCGCGCGTCCCGGAGGGCACGTGCCCGAGCACGACCCAAGGGACCAGCACGCCTCGACTCTTTCCTCCCTGCGTCCCAGAGGGTACGCGCCGGAGCACGACCCAGGGGAGCAGCACGCTTCATCTCCTTCGTCGCAGCATGAAAACGAGCAAACCGCTTGAGACATCCCCGCAAAATGACCGCGAACGGGCCCGTGTCCTACCCCCTGGCGGCTCCCGTTAGGGGTGCTGGAACCAGCGCCCCGCTTGAGACATCCTCAAAATCTGCTGTGAAAGCCAAGGATCTTGGGCATGAAAACAAGCAAACCGCCTGAGACATCACCACAAACTGGCCGCGAACGGGCCCATGAAAACGCTCCGGGCGGCTCCCTTTAGGGGGGCTGCTACCAACGCCCCGCTTGAGACATCCTCAGAATTTGTTCTGACAGCCAAGGATGTTGGGCATGAAAACGAGCAAACCGCTTGGGACATCCCCACAAAGTGGCCGCGAACGGGCACGTGTCCTACCCCCTGGCGGCTCCCGTTAGGGGTGCTGAAACCAGCGCCCCGCCTGAGACATCCTCAAAATCTGCTGTGAAAGCCAAGGATCTTGGGCATGAAAACAAGCAAACCGCCTGAGACATCCCCACAAACTGGCCGCGAACGGGCCCGTGAAAACACCCTTGGCGGCCCCCCTTAGGGGTGCTGAAACCAGCGCCCCGCCTGAGACATCCTCAACATTCATTCTGAAAGCAATGGATGTTGGGCATGAAAACAAGCAAACCGCTTGGGACATCCCCACAAACTGGCCGCGAACGGGCCCGTGAAAACGCTCCGGGCGGCTCCCCTTAGGGGCGCTGCTACCAACGCCCCGCTTGAGACATCCTCACAATCTGCTCGGAAAGCAAAGGATGTTGGGTATGAAAACGAGCAAACCGTTTGAGACATCCCCACAAATTGGCCGCGAACGGGCCCGTGTCCTACCCCTTGGCGGCTCCCCTTAGGGGTGCTGAAACCAGCGCCCCGCCTGAGACATCCTCAAAATCTGTTCTGACAGCCAAGGATGTTGGGCATGAAAACGAGCAAACCTTTTGAGACATCCCCACAAACTGGCCGCGAACGGGCCCGTGAAAACACCCTTGGCGGCCCCCCTTAGGGGTGCTAAAACCAGCGCCCCGCCTGAGACATCCTCAACATCTATTCTGAAAGCAATGGATGTTGGGCATGAAAACAAGCAAACCGCTTGGGACATCCCCACAAACTGGCCGCGAACGGGCCCGTGAAAACGCTCCTGGCGGCTCCCGTTAGGGGTGCTGGAACCAGCGCCCCGCTTGAGACATCCTCACAATCTGCTCGGAAAGCAAAGGATGTTGGGTATGAAAACGAGCAAACCGTTTGAGACATTCCCAGAAATTGGCCGCGAACGGGCCCGTGTCCTACGCCCCTGGCGGCTCCCCTTGCGAATCTGAGTATGACTAGGTCTGAGTGTGAGTAGGTATCAGTCCGTGCGTTGAGTAACTCAGACTATGAGAAGGTCTGAGTATGCGTAGGTCTGAGTATGAGTAAGCCTGTGTATGAGCAGGTCTGGGAACGAGTCTGGGCATTAGTAAGTCTGGGTATGAAGGAGTCCCAGCATGAGTAAGTCTGAGTATGAGTAGGCCTGCAGATTGTGTGTTGAATAAGTCAGACCATGAGAAGGTATGAGTATGAGCAGGTCTGAATATGAGCAACTCTGTGTATGAGTGGGTGTGTTCTCTCTGGAGCCGGCGGCGTCCGAGTAATAACAAGAACCCCATTTCAGGATATGGGAAACAAAAGTGATGAGCAATCTCGCGAAGAGGACAGGGAGGATTTCGCGCAGATCCATGGAAGTATGTGGATTGGACATCGACGTGCTACCTTTTTTTTTCAGTGGCAGTGTTGAATACATCGGGCGTAAGCTCACCTTCGCGGGCCCCGACGACGCCGAACTAGACAATCGTATTTCTGCTGGCTGGATGAAGTTTATGATTATAAGGACGAGCTCGCAAAGAAATCTGATTCTCTGCACGATCGCTTGAAGTTGTTCGACACCGTCGTGAAGCCGACAGTACTCTACGTAGCAGCTACTTGGGTTCTGACCTGCCCAATGGAAGGGAAATGATTACGCTGCCGAAGAAGAATGACGCGCATGATCCTGGGAAAGGGGAGGAGGTGTGTTCGCACAGACGATCCATCACGCGGTTCTATTGAACCATAGGCGGATTGGATCAAGCGTACAACAAGGGAAGCAGAGTCAAAATTGGTCGAATCAAACATTGGTTCGCGGGTAGCCACACAAATATAATGAAATGGGAACGGGCGCAAAGAATGCAGCAGTCGTCGCCGAATACGTGGTCAAGGATTGTTGCAGAATGGGAGCCGCAGTGTTCACGGAGATCCCGTGGACGACCCAAGTGTCGTTGGTCAGATGATATTCAGCAGTTGTTACTGTCAAGCAGAGCCCAGGAATCATGGTACAACTCTGCAGGAGATTGGGGAGCATGTGGATCTGATTCCGCACAGCAGAAGGATGGCACGGGAGGGCTGCGGCCCCCGCGCCTTGCCCCGTGCGGGCCGGCCGTCTGGGCCCCACACGGCGCGCCTCGCCTCGCCTCGCTTCGCCTCGCTGTGAAACTAACATGAGGTTTCGTCTTGAAAGATTTCTGGGTCGCTTTTCTCATGACAATGTATGTCGCACGTGTCGCAAGCCGGGCATGGGCTGCTAAATCCGTGGCTGCGAAAATCGACCTCCGGGAAGTTGTCTTCGTCCTTCCGGGAAGAAGCCCGTGGACTGTTTCGCGTGCCGAGCCTCATTCCGGGAAGTTTTTCTTTCCTTCCGGGAGGGCCGTTTTAGCAGCCACGGTTTTAGCAGCCCTCGCCCAGCTTCCTAACATGGTTCCGGATCGGCCTCTTGGAAAAGCTGAAAGCACCCACCTATATCATTACCGCGAGGTCAAGACAGTTTGGGAGGGTGGAGCACGACCAGGAGCGATCGATTACCCGTCGGAAAATGCGTCTTCGGTTGTGGCTGCTCGGAAAATTATAATGCTCCACTACGCGTGCTGCACTGATGTGGGTCCCACGATGCGTCGTCACCTCCCTCGCCTGCCCCTGGGCTGGGGATCTGAACCTTTCCCTGCACTTATCCTCCGTCTCCTCCACTCCTGAGCTTTTGTTCCGTGCCGCAGCGATGGATCTCCTCCGTTTTGTCTTCCAATCTTGCCGTGCTTCCCTTGTGTCCGCCCGCCGCGCTGTCCAAATCATCCTAGCTCGTCTCGGCTGCTCCGCCCGCCGTTCCAGGCTGGTGCGCGGCCTCTGTCAAAGGTTATCTCGGTTGAGCGTGGTCCCTGGTCCGTGGGCCGAATTTCCCGCGGAGTGTGGAATGCCAGTGGACTTCCCAATTCGAGATCATCCACTTTTTACCGAAATGAGGGGGGTTGCAAGTCTGCTGCTGGGCTGTCTTTTCTGCCACCGCCGGAATCTTTTTATGCTACTGGTGGGTCGCCGTTGCTGCAGACGAACTCTGCCGCCTCAAGGGGTGCGACTCCTCCTCCTCCTCCTCCTCCTCCTCCTCCTCCTCCTCCTCCTCCCCTCATCATCATCATCATCATCATCATCATCATCATCATCATCATCATCATCATCATTATCATCATCCTCTTCATCCTCCTCATCCTCATCCTCAACCTCATCTTCCTCCTCCTGCGATTCTGCATGGGCTACAGCGTGCGGCACGGTACGGTATTGTCGGGTATGGTAAGCGCGGTTGGTACGGTATCGTCCAGTACGGTAGACACGGTCGGTGCGGTATCGTCCGGTACGGTGGCCACGGCCAGTGCAGTATCGTTTGGTACGGTGTCCGCGCTCTGTTGGCACGGTAGTGTATGGCCTGGTACTGGTTGGCCGGTATCCGATACGGTAGTGGCCATCATGTGTTTAAAGATATACATATATAACTACATATACATAGACACATGCATATACATATACATATGCATAAGCATAAACATGCATGCATGCGCGCATATCTGAATATCCAGTTGCCTGCTGCAAGTCCTGCCACCGTGCCAGCCCAGCATTTGTTGGGGTGGTGACTGTTCAAGGGTGGGACATACGTGGTGATGCTGAGGGTGAGGATGATGATGCTGATAATGTTGATGATGTCAATGATGTTGATGATGATGGTGATTGTGGTGATGATAATGATGATAATGATGATGATGATGATGATGATGATGATGATGATGATGATGATGATGATGGTGATGGTGATGGTGATGGTGATGATGATGATGATGCCGGTTATGCTGATGATGATGGTGATGTTGATGGGAATGAGGTTGAGTACAATGATGATGAATGTTGTGATAGTGAAGATGGTGATGGCAGTGATGATGGTGATAGTGGTCATGATGGTGTTTGTGATGGTGGCGATGATGACGGTGATGATGATGCTGATGATGATGATGATGATGATGATGATGATGATGGTGGTGTAGGTGATGATGATTGTGTTGGTGGTAGTAATGATGATGATGGTGGTGGTGGTGATAATGATGATGATTGTGATGATGATGAGGATGATGATGCTGATGATGATGATGCTGATGATGGTGAGTGCGCTTGCGCTGGTGGCGGTGATGATGATCATTATGATGATGGTGGTTATGATGATGATGATGAGGAGGAGGAGGAGGAGGAGGAGGAGGAGGAAGAGGACGACTGGCGCATGTGACCGCTTTCCTCTTTCATCATGTGAGGAGCCCTCGTGGAACTCGTCCAGACCGCCTTGGAGCTGTCTTGGCTTCCCGTGAGGCAGTCTTGGGGGTCCCTTGGGGCTCTCGTGGGCCGTCTCGGGGCCTTGCTGGGCCGTCTTGGGGCCCTACTGTGCCGTCCTGGGGCTCTCGTGGGCCGCCTCGGGGCCCTCCTGGCCGGTGAGCGTCTGCGGGTCGTCGTGGGGCGGCCTTAGGCCGTCGATTGGCTCAAGTCGGGCATGTCCCTCTACAGGAGGAGTGATCAGAAATATTCAAAGAATAGTCTGGGGACGATTTGTCGATGATGTCTTGACTATGTTGGGGTATGTGTTGACTATTCTCGGGTGTTGTCGCCCAAGCTTCGCCTGGAGGGGGACATGCCCGACCTAACGACAGGCCTTCTAAGGCTGTTGCGGGTCCCACGGAAGGCCCTCTTGGACAATCTTGGAGCCTGTCTCGCGCGCTGTCGCCTCAAGAGCGCGAACACGCCGTAGTCTACTACAGGGGGGCGCGGCCTCGGGGTTACGCGACCTTATCCGATGTTACAGAGGATTGTTTCCTCGGGAGTGCGAGCCTGTTGTTCCCAACGATCCTGTGGTGTTGGGTCCTCGTTTTGAAGAGACAGCGCCCAGCGTTCCTCTCCTCTCCTCTCCTCCTCCTCCTCCTCGTCCTCCTCCTCCTCCTCCTTCTCCTCCTCCTCATTCATTGATTTGCCGATCGACGCGGGCCCTCGCACCCCCGCCCCCCAACCCCACCATGGAGTAGATCTTGGCTGTTTCTGGCGCCTGTCTCGAGCAGGTGAAGTCTCCCCCACAGGAGGCAGTGATGCAAACAGTCGCACTAAGCAGAGGTCTGGAGCCAGAATCCCCCCCTCCCCCTCCCCCTTCCGCCCAATGTCGAAAGGCCGAATAAAGAACGCTCACAAGGGAGTGCGGCCTCGGGAAAGGGGGCGATGTGCGCGGGGCACTGTGAGGAGAGGGGGAGGGGCCTAACCTTGCCAGACAGCACTTGGCAGTCTAGCACGCCTCGACAGATATACATATTGCACCACGTACTTGGATTGGGCCACACAGATTGCACCACGCCGCAGATGGCCCCACATAGAGTGCGCATCGGGAGCACAATTACCACGCTGGCAAACATGTCCCTCCTCCTTCTCCTCCTCCCCTCTTCCTCCTCCTCCTCCTGCTCCTGCTCCTCCTCCTCCTCCTCCTCCTCCTCCTCCTCCTCCTCCTCCTCCTCCTCCTCCTCCTCCTCCTCCTCCTCCTCCTCCTGTCCGGCCAGCATCCGCTCAGCATCGGCCGCTCACGGCCCAGCCCGGCTAGCTTCTCCGCCCAGGATCGGTTGTTGTGGGGTGCGATCCGACCAGGATTTCAAAAGGGCCCAGCCGAGGGAACCAGGAAGACCCCAGTGCCCCAAAAGGGGCCATAAATGTCGCAGAGCTACGAACCTGCCTGCACGAGCCTTCATTCTCAAGTTTCGAACATCAGTCCGTCGCCTCCTCGCTACGAGAACTTCGATACATGAGCATCGCTTTTCGAGCCCCAATGCACGAGCTTCGAACTTCGATCCTCGATCCTCCACCTCGACCTGCTGGCCAGGACGATCTCCGATCCTCCTCCTCCTCCTCCTCCTCCTCCTCCTCCTCCTCCTCCTCCTCCTCCCCCTCCTCCTCGATCATCCTCGATCCTCCGAGCCTCGATCCTCCTCGACCCTCCCCCTCCGCCTCTCGGCCAGGACGACGCCGCGCCACCGCCCGCCGAGGTCCCCGCCGGCGCGGCGCCGGCCGCCGCGGGCGCGACACCCGCGCGCGCGGAGGACCCGGCGGGCGCCTCTGGAGGCGGAATCGGCCCTCTTGTAGGCCTCCTCCTCCTCCTCCTCCTCCTCCGCGTCCTCCTCCTCCTCCTCCTTCTCCTCCTCCTCCGCCTCCTCCTCCTCGTCCTCCTCCTCCTCCTCATCATCAGCATCAGCATCAGCATCAGCATCAGCATCATCATCATCATCATCATCATCATCATCATCATCATCATCATCATCATCATCATCATCATCATCATCACATCATCATCATCATCATCATCATCATCGATCCTCCTCCTCCACCTCCTCCTCCTCCTACTCCTCCTCCTCCTCCTCCTCCTCCTCCTCCTCCTCCTCCTCCTCCTCCTCCTGTCCGGCCAGCATCCGCTCAGCATCGGCCCCCACGGCCCAGCCCGCCCAGCTTCTCCGCCCAGGATCGGTTGTTGTGGGGTGCGATCCGACCAGGATTTCGAGAAGGGCTCCTCCTCCTCCTCGTCGTCCTCCTCCTCCTCCTCCTTCTCCTCCTCCTCCTCCTCCCGCCCCCCGCGCTGTATGCATCTGCTGCCCTCGGAGCTTCCTGCGTCTCTCCCGGGGCGGCCGGGGCAACGGAGCCCGACGACGGTCGAGGCCCAAGAGCCGGGGTCAATGCAAACGAGGCCCAGGGGCGCATTGGCCTGGGTATTGTTCGCAGGATCGTGCAAGGTCCTGCAGGATTTTGCAGGATCCTGCAAGGCCTGACTGACCCAGGTGTGCATTGACCCAGGTCAGCAGATCCCCGGCAGAGTCGGGGCTCACGTAACTTAGCGGGCGAAGAGCGGTGTAGCATAACATATTTCACTGTCAGGGGCGCTTGTCCCAGGGCGGTCGGGCAGTTTTTACACCCTCACCTGCAACCGTTGGAGTACAAACTTTTCAAGCCGCCCTGTGGCAGGCGCCCCCAGCGGCGAAACAGTTTATTCCCATGTCAGCCATACTGTGGTGTTGGGTCTTCGTTTTGAAGAGACAGCGATTCCTTCCTCCTCCTCCTCCTCCTCCTCCTCCTCCTCCTCCTCCTCCTCCTCCTCCTCCTCCTCCTCCTCCTCCTCCTCCTCCTCCTCCTCCTCCTCCTCCTCCCTCCTCCTCCTCCTCCTCCTCCTCCTCTCCTCCTCCTCCTCCTCCCCCTCCCCCTCCTCTTCCCACTCCTCCTCCCCTCCTCCTCCCGCTCCTCCTCAGCACCAGTCATCCAACCATTTCGGCACACCTCTCACACGTTTCGTGACCCCATAGGGAGCTCCATCGAAGGCCCCAGTGGCTGTCCTCGCATGCGCCCACCGCACATATGTTAGCACGCCCCTCACATGTCTCGCCGCCCCAGAGGAAGCTGCACCGAAGGCCCCAGTGTCTGCGTTGGCACGCGCCTGCCGCATCCATTTCGGCACACCCTTCACACGCTTCGTGGCGACATGGAGGTGCTCCACCGACGGCCCCTGTGGTTGCGCTCGCGTGCGCCCGCCGCACCCATTTCGGCACACTCTTCACACGCTTCGTGGCATCATTGTACGCTCCACAGAAGCCCCAGCGGCTGCGCACGCAAGCGCCCGCCGCACACATGTCGGCACACCCTTCACGCGTTTCGTGGCCCCACTGGGACTTCCACCGAAGGCACCAGTGGCTACGCTCGCATGCGCCCGCCGCACCCATTTCAGCATACTCCTCACACGTTGCGCGGCTCCATCGGGAGTTGCGCGGAAAGAGGCCCCAGTGGCTGTGCTCGCATGCGTCCGCCGCGCACTTTTCGGCACACACACACCCCTCACACATTTCGTGCCCCCATAGGAAGCACCACTACAGGCCCCAGCGGCTGCGCGCGCATGCGCCCGCCGCACCCCTTTCGGCACATCCCTCACACGTTTCGTGGCCGCATGCGTCTGCCCCGCCCATTTCGACACATCCCTCACACGTTTCGTGGCCCCATAGGGAGCTCCCCCCAAGGCCCCAGTGGCTGCGCTCGCACGCGCCCGCCGCACCCATTTCGGCACGCTCCTCACACGCTTCGTGGTCCCATAGGGAGCCCCACCGAAAGCACCAGCGGCTGCGTTCGCAAGCGCCCGCAGCACCAAATGTCGGTACACCTCTCGCACGTTTCGTGGCTCCATAGAGATTCCACCGAAGGCCCCAGCGGCTGCGCTCGCATGCGCCCGACGTGCCCATGTCGACACACTCCTCACACGTTTCGTGGCCACATCGGGAGTTGTGCCGAAAGAGGCCCCGGTGGCTGCGCTCGCAAGCGCCCGCCGCACCAAGCTCGGCACACCCCTCACACACTTCGTGACCCCATAGGGAGCTCCGCCGAGAGGCTCCGGTGGCTGCGCTCGCATGCGCCCGCCGCCCAAATGTCGGCGCACCCCTCACACGTTTCGTGGCCCCATAGGGAGTGCCACCGAAGGCCCCTGTGGCTGCGTTCGCATGCGTCCGCACCGACCATTTTCGGCCCGTGTTCGCATGCGTCCGCCCCGCCCATTTCGGCACGCCCCTCGCACGTTTCGAGGGCACAGAGGGAGCTCCCCCGAATGCCGCAGTGGCGGTATCATGCGTCCGCCCCACCCAAATCGGTACCCCTCACACGTTTCGTGGCCCCATGGAGAACTCCACCGAAGACCCCAGTGGCTGCGTTGGCATGCGCTCACCGCGCCAATGTCGGCACACTCCTCACACGCTTCGTGGCCCCCTGGGAAGCTCCACCGAGGACGATGCTCACAATGGCCCACTTCCTGCACTGCTTCGCCCCCCCCCCAGTGGCGAGAGCCAATGCCGACGGGCATCAGCTTCCGTGGGGGCTCCGGCGGAGGCGGGGCTCACGGCAGGGAGGCGGAGGGCCGTTGGAGCCGCCTGGGGGGGCCGGCTGCCTTCTTTTGAATCGGCGGCCTGTGGGGGGCGATTCCGGGTCACAGGGCCGTGGGAAACGGATCCCCGCGGAGAATCGGAGGCGGACCCGCCCGACCGGCCGACGGGCCCGCCCACGGCGACGACCACGACGGCAAGGTCGACGACGACGACGGCGATCATCTTGCGAGCCTGCGGCCTATCGAGCTGCTGTGACCGTTACTCGGTTTCCCTCTCCATGTACACCCACCCACTTAAGCTATGGTCGTGGGCGGAAAAGAGGGGGGTGATGACTAGGGGGGGTGGATATCATGGCGTGGGCCATGATATTTCCTCAGATTTCATGGCGCCTCTTCTTATTTCATTACGTCCCTGGCCCCCCCGCTGGGCCGCGCACATGCCGCCGGTTATGATTTGCACCCCCCCCTCTTGGACACCCCCCTCTTGGCCGCTCCGGAGAGAAAAGCTGCACCAGATGAGCACCCGCGGGACGGGTCAGTGGGCCGATGCGCCGGGGGGGGATGGGCTCGGGAGGCACGTTCCCAGACATCTGGCTTCTCGGAAAATCGAGACGAAGGGTTTTTGCAGTTTTCGGCCTCTCGGGGCCCTTGCGGGGCCTCGGGAACGTCCAGAGTCGACTCGGGATGAAATGCTGGTCCCGGGGAGGTGGTCGAGAGGTCGGGGTCCCGAGACTCGAAACAATCGAGACGTCGGATGTTTGGGCGTGCGTGAAGAAAGGGAGGATCGAGGATCGAGGGGGTCCTGGATGTTTCTGGGGCGTCCTTTGGCGGGGCCCATGGAGTCAGTGGAGCAGGAAGGCCCAGGGGGGAACTCTAGAGGGGATGGGCCCCCCAGACCGAAGGTTTCTGTACATTTTTCAGCCTCTGGGGGCGATCGTCGGGTCCCAGGGCCGTCAAAAAACATTCAGGATGAAGAACCAGTCCCGGGGAACGGGTCGAGATCTTTGGGGGTCGACGTTGTGGAACGCCATGTGCTTGGATGATCGTGGGGGCTGTTAAGGGGATAGGGCGATTAGAAGTGGAAGCAGGTGGGTTGTGTCTGGCCCAGCCTAGCTTATAAATGGTTTGTAGATGACCGAAGTGGTTCAGTGGGGATGCATATCTGGTCTAAGTGGGTGGAACCCACTTCGCTGAGTTTTCCAATCACCATCAAGTTTGCAAGCCATGTGTAGCCCACTTATAAGTTAGGTTAGGCCAGGTATGACCCACCTTTGGAGGTGGAGGGGGGACACTAGGGGGGGATAGGCTCAGTCGAAGAACAAGAAGCCCCATGAGCATAATTCGAGACGATTCGTAATCCCACCAGCCCATCCAAACACGATGCCCAGACGAGCTGCCCTGATCAGGGATGTGAAGGAGCACGCAGTGGAATAAAGGGCTGGGTAAGGCGTCATGCCCCGAGAGGGGGAGGATGGAGGCGGAATCGGAGGAAGAGCAGGAGGCAGAATAGCGGGACCAGTTTAAACACAAGTCAGGAGGGGAAAAAACACACAGACACAATGAATCGTCGATTCTTCGGAAAACATGGGAAAATGTGGGAAGTGGGGGGAAGACAAAAACCCAGAAAATATTTGAAAATGCGGGGGGTCCTGGTAGTTGTGTGTATTTATGTGTGTGTCCCAGGGCCCCTTCACCAAGACGCGCCAACGATGGTCTAATCACCCCTCCCTCCAAGTTCCCTCATCGCAGGTCCCTACCAGAACTTGCTTCATTGCGGGGAGTGCCCAATTGGAATAAGACTGTCGGGGAATCTTCAACCGTGCCAAGGCAGACTTTCTGGAACTTCAGTGCCGCGAATCGTCGTGACTGTTGCGTCCTGACATTCCTCTATTGTGGCGGAGCACCATTCCCGGAATTCCTGCACCGCGAATCAATGTGATTGTTGCGTCCTGACAATCCTAAATCGTGTCAGAACGCCTCTCATGGGACATCCACCGTGCGAGCCCTTGAAACGAGCACAGACTTGCAAGACGAATCTGCGCGGCGCGAACGCAAGAGCCACATGCTGAAAACGTACCGCCCTCCATGAAACTTTCATATAAATGTTTGAGACGAATGCGCGCGGCGCCAAGGCGAGAGCCACATGTTAAAAACGTACCACCCTCCATATGAAACTATCGTATAGATGTTTGAGACGC